CATTTGATCCCTGAAGAAGGCGATTCCAAGGAAGTTTGGCACGAAGCAATTTTCAACGAAGTCGTCCAAGCACAACACCGACATTTGGTGTGGTCCTTTTCGATCTTCGACTTGTTTCTCCAACTTGCCTGCCCGGAAATCTATTTCAACCCGATCAAGGTGGCTTCCTTGCTCATGGAATCGCAGCCCCGGTGTCCCAGCTACTCCTGAGACCTTTTTTGCTCTGGTCTGACTTCACCTTGGTCAAGTTGGCTCAACACTCTGGTTTTTCAAGCGCCCTCTTGACAAACAACACCCCCTACAACGTCAAGTCAGCCATCCAATTGCTTCAAGAAGCCACCATGCCGTTCGACGGGCCTCACTTGGACTGCTACCACGCCTAACTTGGTTCCTTGGGAACTAAATGGCATTTCGATCAATGCCAATGGCCTGAACACCCTCAACCCATCCATCCTGTCTCATCTTTCCAAGTTTTCCTTCGTGGCTTCTCAAGAAACGAAGTTCACCAACAAATTCAACCTCGAACGAGCCATTCAAGCATGGAAGGTCACTGATGCTTTTGGCCAATCTTTTTGGTCACATCACACGACTCAACATTTCGATGGCCACGACGGAGTTGGACTGCTACTCAACAGCCAATGCCCCATCACCAATTGTCAAGACATCACGGTCAACTACGACTACGACATCTTGAAGAATCGCTACATGGTCATTCAAGGAAGAATTCAAGAAATTCAAGTATTTATTCATGTCGTCTACGCCCCAGCCCAACGACAACACAGACACGAATTTTTTGACGCACTCCCAAGGACCTTTCCTGAAGACGCTTGACACATCGTCTGCGGGGATTTCAATTCCCCGCTCACTCCCTTGGATGCTAACACTTTCAACTCAAGAGAAGTTGCGTCAAGAAATTCTCTCAAGAATGGATGCATTCAATGCAACTCATCAACCCTTGTCGAATTGAAAACCCAAGCACGGATGAATTCACGGGCCCTACCACAAACCGGCGCATCGACATGGTTTTTATGTGCCTCGGCCTGTTCACCAAGTATTTAAGTATTTCCGACGGATCTCTCGTGCTTACGGCCTGAAGTTCCATCACTCGGATCACACGGCCATCAAATTATCCCTTCAAGTCAAGACATGGTATCCTCGTGATGGAAAAAACGATGGCGTTGCCCCCAATGGATTTTATTGTGCCCTGAAGTCCAAGAACACCTCGAGAAGTCTTTGGGGAATTTACTTCATCGGCTTGGCTCACCCGGCTCCGCTGGATTTAATCCTGGATGCCTTTTGGCCGAACACAAGCGAGCCGACACGATTTATTTGAATAAGACCCTATTGGACAAGGCTCACTCAACTGGAAAGCGACTTCACGACCTCCTGGTGGCGATTCAAGTTGCCAAACAAGATCATATCCACCAAGACACTGAAGACACTCTACTTCAAGTCACACAAGCTCAAGCCGCGTATGACTTGTACTATGAAGTCGTCAGCGAATCAAGGAAGCGCAACAAATTCGATGAAGACATGAATTCCAGTGAGAAGTGCTCGAAGGAATTTTTACGACCTCCG